TTACTACCAGCTCAGTTTTCGAGTTCATTAAATCTAATAATAAAGAATAAATTTCTAAGTAAGTACGTAAACCTTTTCTTGTTACCCGTACAACAAAGATGCTTTTTAATTAACGTATGCAGTGCGCTATAATGGCTCTAGTAATGTTTCAGTTTGTCTCATTAGCGAGTAATGACTTTATTGCCTTCCCTTTTTAATAAATTAGATAACATAAGTCCCTTAGGCCACATCAAAGGTGACCGACTGGCAATGGCAAAATGGGTTGTATACAACAACGTCAAACGCAAGAGGTCATGGAGCAAAAAAGATGAACCAGCTCAAACCATTCCCAAAGCTGATAATCACCAAAAAAAGGTGATGCTGTCTGTTTGGTGGGATTTTAAAGAAATCGTTTTTTTTGAGCTTTTACCGGATAACACAGCGATTAATTCGGAAGTCTACTGTCATCAGCTGGACAAACTGAATGATGCACTTCAACAGAAAAGGTCAGAACTAATCAACAGGAAAGGTGTAGTGTTTCACCAAGACAACGCGAGACCTCACACAAGTTTGGTCACTCGCCAAAAGCTTTTACAGCTTGAATGGGATACAATGCTACACCCACCATATTCTCCAGACCTGGCACCATCGGATTATTATTTGTTCCGGTCACTCCAAAATTTTTTAGACGGTAAAACCTTCACCTCAAATGAGGAGGTCAAAAACCTCCTCGATCAGTTTTTTGCCAGCAAAGACCAAAAATTTTATGAGCGTGGAATTATGCTACTACCAGAAAGATGGCAAAAGGTGTTGGACCAGAACGGTCAATATATAATTTAATAAAGTATTTGTTTATCATACGAAAACTGTCTTTCATTTCCACAAAAAAAAACGAAATGACTTTCCGAACAACCCTATAATTGCATTTACTACCTAACCTAACCTAACCTAACCTAAATATCTGATTCATTTCAAAGTATCGAGTTATATCAAAACCAATTAGATAAGGTAAATATTTTCCCAAAATTTCTAGAATTTACTAATTTTCAGTCTTTTTGTTTAACTGCGATTTCTATGTTCGATAAACGTTTTGCCTGACCTGTATTCATGTTCACAATGGGAATCGAATCTAGTCAATTTCATAAATGTAGGCAGGTATACGGTAAAGTATCTACCGCTGTACGGGGGGTTGAACAATCGGGAAGGGAGGGGGGTAGCTTAGAATCGGGTAAAAGGGGCGCAGAATTGTAGAGAAAAGCCTTGACACGAGTGACATATTAGTGTCAGGTGAAGCGGATTGCTAATCTTTTAATGTAATTCGTTACGTTGTCATTCCTTTTGTGGTCGAGTACAAATCAGATATAAAAAGTAAAAGGAAGAGTCATTAGGATCTAGACGGGGGAGCATGAATTGCCCGCCAATATGCCATTTTATTGAATATCAACGACAGCAATCGGTATTAGCATCATTCCTTTTACCTATTTGTCAATCCATCTATAATATAAAAGGGGAAATATTTTTCGCTGTAATATCTAGCAAAAGGTTACTCAAACCCGTTTGTTTATTTTAATTGAATCTATTAAACTATTAAAATAATTTAGGATGATATTAATTCAGTATAATCTGAGCTTCTCGATTTTGATTAGAAAAATTGCAAGATACGTCTACGTTTTGAAATATGTTGTTGTTAGGGAACCTTTTTGTTGTGGTAACACTACCTATTGGTTTATTTCGTTGTCATTGACCAATTTTTAAACGAAATAAGGTATCGACTTCTTGAAATTTACACATAAAATGTAAATCTTCGGCCAATGGTACATAAAGTTATAAGAAACTTTATTTGAAAAGAGTGTCATCGGTACATGCAAATAGGAGACAAGTTTCGACCTGCTGTATGTCACGCCTGTCCTCCATCATCCCACTAATCTTTACAATATTAGTAAGGTATAATATTGGATATATACCTACGGACTCTTGATTATTCAAAAACACAAATGATAGGATTTTAGCTTTAGATAGACGTCCTAAAATACAGCAAGAATATTTAAGGGTCTTTTACATTTTAACCCGTCAGTCACGCGGTATTCACTTTCAGAGTCGTCATCAACGCATTCCTCCTTCTAATTTTTAGTCATCATCATAAGATTCAGTCCTAAGACTGGTTGGACACGCACCTCTACTCTTTCCTATCCTGAGCTAATCTTCGTATTTCCCTAAAACTAGAACAACCCACATCCTTAACTATTTGCGAACACTAATCTAATCTGGGTCTACCTCTACCCCTCCAAACCCCCGTTTTTGCCTCTAATATATCTCTGAATAGACCTTCATGTCTGAGAAGGTGTTCTACCAACCTATCTCGCCTATTTTTTATTGACTTCCATAGAGTCCTCTGTTCTCTTACTCTTTCTAATACCTCTTCATTTCTAACCTTCTCTACCCACGCTATCCTCATCATTCGCCTATACACCCCATTTCGAACGCTTCTAACCCTTTCTTTTTCGCTGCGACAGCTGTCCATGTTTCGCACCCGTACAGCGCGCATTTAACAACCTTTATCGAATTTCTAATTTTCAGTATTAATGCAAAAATCCTAAATGTAGGTAGGTAAGTGTAACACAAAGAGATAATTATCTTGATTTGTTAAACGACTACAAAACCCCATCGCGTGTGTGCCTGAAAGGATCTTAACGTCATTTCAAATATTTCTTTGTTTCGAGAGCCCTGCCGCTCAGTAAACATATTTTACAACAATTATAATTCCTTAAATTCATTGCATTAAAGTAAAGTTATCGTGTTAATATACGTCTACTCTTCTGACACATTGCAACAGATGCAATCGTATGTGTGTCAAAAGATATCTAAAGTTATTTACATTATCACAATCTTTAAAAGTCTGGCGAATATCGTAGAAGTTTCGAGAACATTTCCTAATGATGTATTCGTAGAGGAACAGTTCCTCAAACCACTCTGAGGAGCAAATTGGACGTAAATAAACAACGCGTATAATACTAGACAATTACACACGTAGAGAAAGATACACGCTAGCTGTACTGAAATGGTATCATTGCACATACCTACTTATAAACTCCAGTTCGAGACATATTCCTATATATATACGAAAATACAGAAATGATTGGATGTAGATGTATACGTATGTGTGTATGTTTTGATGGCGAATAGCGGATTTTTGAATACAAACAGATACTTTGAACGTTCTCCGGGTATAGAAATTACACATTCTTTTGTCGTCATTTTATTTCTGAACGAAAATGCATAATTTGGTTAACGTGTGGTCTGCATAATTATTTCAGAAACACCCTGTATAGTTTCTCAACCATGTGTATCTGAAAATATGTCCACAGCTTATCTGCAAACTACTGAACTAACAGAACTATCAAAATCTTTTGGTCAGAGCTAACACCGCTAAGAAGAGATTTAAACTGAATTAACTGAACTTACATTAAGTATCTGTAGGGATAGATATACAGGGGCAAAAGATTAGGATGATATTAGGAGACGAAAAATTGGAAGAAGTGGCTGATTTTAGGTATCTAGGAAGTCAGATAAGTCAGGACGAAAGGAGTACTAGGGGTATTTGGAGCGCGGTGCTGTACGGATGTGAAACATGGATGGTGGGCGCTGCGGAAAAGAAAAGGTTAGAAGCGAAATGTGATGTTAGAGGCGGATGATAGGGAAGATTAGAAATGAAGAGATATTAGAAAGAATAGGAGAACAGAGGACTCTATGGAAGTCAATAAGAAATAGACGAGATAGATTGGTGGGACCGCTTCTTAGGCATGAAGGTCTAGTCAGAGACATATTAGAGGCAGAAACAGGAGTTAAGAGGAGTAGAGGTAGACCTAGAATAAATTACTGTTCCCAAATAGTTAAGGATGTCGGTCGTTTTAGTTTTGGGGAAATGCGATGATTAACTCAGGATACGAAACAGTGGAGGTGTTTGTTCAACCAGTCTAAAGACTGACGACTTTATGATGATGATATTAAGTATCTTATACTTTATTATTTATATGAAATGCAATAAATATAATTTAATACTCTTGAGGGATCTTATGCTTTATTCAAAAGGCATAGTTAGTCTAAAACAGCCATCAGAGAAGCGGGTAATATGTTTAACTTTTTATATTTGACTGAAGAAATTTATTCGGCACGTTTATGTGCACTAAGTTTTGCATTTTCGCATAAAAAATAAAAATAAGTAATGCCAATAAAGAAATGTGTAATTTCTATTTCCAGTGAACATTTTGCCTTAGCCGTATAAATGCTGGTACGTTTCGAGCATTTCAAAGGATTACTATTGCTTGACGCGTCGCGACGGCTACGGTCGCCTCGTGTCTGTGCATCAGTACTTACATGGAAAAGGGTCGGTCACGCGAGGGAATGCTGCCTATTCAAATTTTTGTGAAAAAATTTATAATGAACTCAAAATCAAAAAAAAAAATAGCAAATAATTTTGCTAAAAAACAAGTTATTCATTATTTTAATAAACTGTTAAGATTGAAGAGTATGACATTCAAAATTTTTCTTGCGCTCAATAATTCTTAAGTGAAATATTTTTGCATTAAGGTTGTCATTAAGGCGAACGGCGCGACGCCGAAAACGTGTCCCGAAAAGGGGAAGAAAAATGTTCCCTATTGCACAATAATCACGTCTCGACATGCACACAAGTACGTGAACCAATTATCGTATCCAGACGCTGCCGTTGAATGGCAACGATTTAGCAGAAACGATCAGGCAAACTGCTTTCTTTATTTACTGAATAATATGAAGCACTTTCACTGTGTTATCTGACAACACGTTCTTTACAAACTCGAATGTTCGAAAAGGATAATGAGTAAATACACTTTAAGGAGTCGCCTAGTAGATGAAAGTAAATATTTTCTATTCAACTCATTTTTTTGTGTATTACATGATAATAATGTAATAATAAACCTAATATATCAAAACATCTTTTATCTGTGAATCTATTTAGAAAATACATATTATATTCAAATGCTTACCATTAGTAATTTAGGCATCACGTTAAGGGAGTAACTACTGAGGATACTGCTGGTGTTAATCTGAAACAAAAATAGTCAATATTAGAATTAATAACAACAACATTTGAATTCCTATAAGTGTAATATGAAATAATAGTGAACACACATACTAAATAGCACTACAATATCTACTGATATATAACAGTAAATAAATAATTAATAAGTAATGTCATGGTAATCGAGTTCCAAAAATTCTCCCCTCCCAAAATCATCCCTTAAAACGTAAAATTACAATAGAATATTATTTTCAAGTGATGGTGAAGCGAATTTTTACCTATATATATATACGGCTGTTCAAAAAAAAGAAAAATAGCCGCATATGCGGGTAGTTTGATAGCTGAGCAAGGCGATTTTTTATTGTTCAATAATCAATTATCTAGTGAGCCAAAGAAGAGGATGTAGAAATGGACCATTTTCGATTGCTAACATGTAATAGCTAGATTGAAGATGTTATATTTCTACAAGCTTTTCCAGCCCCGACAAAAGGTTTATGGATAGGTATAAGCTTTTAATGCTAACACGGATGAAAATGGTAAAAGATTACAAGTGACGCTGAAGATTATTTTCTAGACCAATTTAGCTCGATAGAGTAGGCATATAATGAAGTTTATTATTATTAATTATTAGTAAAAGGTTAGAAATGAAGAGGTATTGGAAAGAGTAGGAGAACAGAGAGGGCGCTACGGAAGTTAATACAAAATGGACAAGATAAGTTAATAGGACACCTCCTTAGTCACGAAGGCCTAGTTAGAAACATACCAGAAGCAGAAACAGGAGCTAAAAGGAGAAGAGATTCACTTAGATTCGATTACTGTTCACAACAACAATAATTAAGGATGTGGGATTTTTTAGATTTAGGGAAATGCGAAGATTCGCTCAGGATAGGAAAGAATGGAGGTGCGTGTCCAATCAGTTTTAGGACTGACGACCTTATGATGACGATGATGATCAGTAATTTAGTCGTATGGTAATTGATTGACTTTATTTTTAGTCTTGCTACTAAAAATGTTGAGAAATGATGCGATACTTCATCGTTACTATTTCAAATTACTGACAGCACCTATTCCAAATTTTATAGCAATCGTTTCAACCAATTGTGGCGTGTGACAATTTCACATACATAAAATCATCGAGCACCGCGGCGCCTGACGAATCAGTTTGGATTTGAAACGCGTCGCGTCGTTACGCGTCGCGTAGCGTATCCCGCCGGATATTCCCATCGCTGCATCGCGTCGCGTCGCGTCGCGTCTGCCGCTCTGCCAACTCCACTTTTCATGAATTTAAATTCAATTTTCGTGTGCCGTTTTCAGCGTCAACATCGCGGGCGGCTGTGCGCCTCCTTCCTCCTTCACTCCCCCCTCTTCCACCCAGCCTCAACCTCCTTCTTTTTACCCTTCTTCATCGTTCGTTCCGTACCGTGCATGCTGCTGCCAATACATCATCTTCTCTCTTCAGGCAGGCGAGCCGAAGGCAACAGCCACACACACACACACACATATATATATACACTCACTCACATCACATGCACACTTGCCCTTCGCCCGTGGAATTCATTTTCTCGCGAAACGGCGAAATAAAAATGTAATGTATGAGGTTATTTAAAACAAACATTAGCTTCTTACACGGCCACTTTGCCATAGTAATGAACTCCCCAACAACGACCAGCTGACATATCCGAAAATCTTGCAAGGAATTAACCCCGGACTGGGTTTATTCTCGGCAATACAAATGCTCAACCGTTCGTTTGGCAATGCTATATTGTTCTCTGGTTTCCTTCTAACTAATCGCAAGCAATTTTCTGCAATATAGAAAGCTTTATTTTTAACCGAAACCTTTTCGGAAATTGAATACCTACACATCGCGTTTCTTTCTTTCTACAACGTTTATTTAAATAGGTTGGAGAAAAGTAGGGAATCAGGAACTCTTCAATTTTGATTGTAACGCTCTTACAGTGCCTAAAAATAATGGAAAATAAATTCAAAAATAAACTTTGGGATAATGAACGTCATATATCAAATTCTACTTGTCTGTGTCTCTTTCTGTTACACTTCAATTGGTGTAATGTTATTCCTTTTTCTTTATTTGTGTCCGCTGCAATTCCCACCTGACATCTCTTTTCTATGCTTACGATATTCCTTACAACGTCTGTCGTGAGTAAAAGTACGCATTGTGTCAGCAACCGCCCTAATCTAATTAGTAATTTGAAAGAACAAAGTAAATGCATCAGTTTTATTGCAGACTGTGCCAATTTTGAACGTCTGAACTATATCTAAGTGGTTTATATGTTACAGATCAGTTCTTATTTTTTGGTGTTTAATTCGCATGAGCTACTACTGTTGGTTGCTCTGGACTATGTCGGAGGGTAGGGCCAAGGTCATTTTTAGGAATCGTGGAAGTAGGTGGATGGTAGCTGGGGTGAGAAAGATGAAACGGACGAAATAAAGGAAGAAGAGACATGAATGATTATGGAATATGATTACTGCTCATATCATATCATAAACTAACGTTGACCAGGTCAGAAGGACCCAGAATCCAGAAAGTTAAGCAATGGTCTAAGTCTTTAGGGCTCTAGGCCATGCTACTCAGCGAGATGAATTCAAAATCAGATTACTGACCGAGAACACATTTTGCTTTACATCTTACTTTAGTTTGATAAGTCGATATCCTTAGTAGAAAAGGACCTTGTCGGACATTATTTGTTTTCACAATGAGTATCAAATTTCTACAAATGTCGTTCACTACGCTGTCTCTACACACTCCTAGAAAATAAATTGGAAAGATTTTAAAAAAACCATTTTCCTCAGGGTTCATAACATTACGAACTTTTTCTTTGTTGATCATCGTGTCCAAAATACAATAACGATAACATTTTTCTAGTGGATTGGGGTATCCCCCAGCAGGTGACTATTTGGAAACCTCTGAATTTAAGACCAAACAAAAAAAAAATACAAAGTGTAATCATACAACACGCTACTGAAGTGAAACTTCTTCAAACACACAAACGTACCGGGATAGGGGTTAAGGAATTGGTTTAATGGCATTATTTGTACACTATGAATTTAAATTTTACACTATACATGCCGGAGTTGCTTGTAACGAACGTTGCATTGAAGCGCGCTCGCTGCTCAAGCGATCCCCACTACAAACTCGACTACGTGGCCGAGTAGAGGGGGGCATCCGTTGCATGATTTCGTTACGTAGCAACTAGCAAGAAAGGAACTTATCGTACCGTGCGTAAAGAAGTTTCACTTTAAAAACAAATATTGGTATAGAAGATAGCCGCTGAAGACCAATGCTGCATATTCTTGGAGTGATATGCAAAAGTCCTTAAAAAGAACGAATGATAGGCACAAAAGAACGTAAATTTATGATACTTAATAAACTCTGCAGTAGATACCTACAAACCAGTCGAGTCTTCCCTCTCCTATATATAAAATACAAATTAGTTTATGCGTTCATCGATAGATATAAGAAAACGACGACACAATGCCATCGTATGTCCCGCTCGCACGTCCCACAGGATAGACGTTAATATGGATATACACGCATATAAGAAAATTGGTTGAATTCTGGAGCGTGCAATATTTCAATCTCGTTGAGTCCCGTGAAGACGATGTTTCCCGTTTGGTTGTCAGTTCAGGTACGTTCTGGGAATAGGGTTGTATCTCTCAGAAACGTATGAAGGATAGAGGTCCCAAAAGACGCGAATGCGAAAGTGGAATAACGAAAACAAAAATGGACTGGATCTATGTCTATGTATATAACTACATATGCATATGTATATGTTTGTATAGGTAAATCTATTTGTACATATGTGTATAACATGTAGGCGTAGGTACGTATATGCGATGTGAAACGGGTAGGGATCAAACACGACTCTGTTATAGCTGTATCTTCGTATCAAAGGGAAACTACAGACATACATGCAAATATGTGTACATTTATGTGTGTGTACGCTCGGTGCACATGAAAGTCTATCATGAGAATGCGATGGAGTGGTAATGAAATTGTTGTCTGGAATACTCCAGAATTTATAAGATCGAATGAAAACGGAAAGGTATATACACCAGTGTAGCACTGAGAACTGAACATAGGGACAACTACGATGTGATACAGGAAAATTCGCACAAACATTTTATGTTTAATATTGAAATAAGTCCACAAGGTTTAGTTAGTTTAGGTCACGTATTACAGATGCAGATGATATTTTCAGATAGATGTCCTCGTGCGACATAAAGAAAAAAACGGACGGACAGACACACGAGTGATGCTATAAGGATTCCGTTTTGCATTCGGACGTATGGAACCCTAATCCGAAAACCACTTAACATTGTGGTTAAAAAAACAGGTAAATGTAAATTTGTACGCATAATATTGTTTTGTTGTACTCTGTAAGTAAAGAACTATTTTCTGTATTTTTTTCAAAATTTTAGGTTCAGTAGTTTCGGAGGACAGTTGGTCAATTTTCGTTTACTTTCTTAAATAACTTGAAAACTATTTATTTTAAAATTACAAAAATAATATTTTTGAGACCCTTACAACAAGCCCTGTCATTTGATACGTCACAGTTTTTTTTAAATTTCCTATTGCTACCCCCTTAAAAACGACCCCTATGTTTAAAATTAATTTTTTTACGTCATGCGTCCGTGTTCGAATCATAAAAATTCATATGTGTACTAAATTTTAACTTAATCGGTTGATACTATAACGGTTTTCATTCGGACATACGGAACCCTAAAAATTCCAATAAAGAAATACTTGGCGAATGTTTTGCCTTACTTGTATACCTACATAATATACCTGCATCTCACTTTATATTTAATTATTTATTTACAGATATCTACTAATAACGAATGTAGAGTTGTGTCTATTTTCTGATTAGAATTATTGCACTACAAAAGAACTTAAATTCGACTTTTTTGCCAAAATGGCTAACTGGGAAATACAGGCACAATTAATTCCATAAACGTAGTTACCGCTTTTATTTTTTTCATAAAACGAGTAAATTTATCGGAAAACAT